GACCCATGAAATGAATGATTTTCATGATGATGCTTTTACCACTTTTACTGTCGATGTGAATGGCCACGCATAATCAAGCGCATACCTACTCAAAACCTGCACCCAAAAACGAAATCAATTTTCTGCAAATTATTCATGGGTATTTGAACTGTATCAACCAGAGAATATTTTCTACCATATGAGAGGTGGGTCTAGTTCTTGCTAATCATCGTTCAATCACTTAACTATCCGTCCTTTGAAAGGAAAACGCCATGAATAGAAATCACAAGATATCTGGAAAACAATATCATTTTTTCTACGGCTATAACACAAAATTGCTCCTGATTTACTGTGTTTGATACATCAATGAAGTAATTTGTATGTCATAAATTTTTATTTCCGTATCTGATATCACGATGACTCCATTATCTCATTATTTCAAAAAAATCTCATCGCTCAAGGAATATCAAATTTCAAGCAATGACAGCTCTGTTCAATGGATGAGCATTACTTGAGAGGAAATCATTCCGTGCTCGTTAAACAATATACTATTATTTTCTACGGCTATAACAAAAAATTGTTCTTGTTTTACTGTGTTCGATATATCAATGTGGTACTTTGTATGTCATCAACTTTATTTTCGTATATGATATCACAATGACTCCATTGTGTTATTATTCCAAAAAGAAAACTTTTTGCTCATGGAATGTCAAATTTCAGCAAATGACAGCTCTATCTAATAGATATGAGCATTACTTGAGAGGAAATCAGATGGCTACAAGACGGAGATATCAGAAGTTTCGCTGTTATCTGTTACAGCCATAGAAAAATAATAGTGTATAACTCGCACGGAATGCTACTTTCCGACTCCAATAATTACTTGGCTCGTACACTCCAACGAAACAGATGAAGCTGGGCGACAAGTTGCAGCTTTCGTCATCACTCATGGCTTAGAGCAGCTTATCAAGGAACCCACACGAATTCTGGATGTCAATAATCATCGAGCCAACACACTCGACTTGTTCCTCACTAATAATTCAGTACCTTGCACCATAGATGTACGAGGTCCACTTAGCAATTCTGACCACACATTCATCTCCACAACCTGCTCATTTTTTATTCCATCAACTGCTCCGGCACCCCCACGACTCGTATGGCATTACAATTCAGAAGACTGGGACGGTCTCCACATATTTTCTCCGAGTTTTCTTAGCACAGAATATGCTTTGGTCCTTCACAGAGTGCTGCGGAAATATCCGAGATCATCACGCTTGGAATGGACACATACATACCTCATTCTTCGAAAAGATCATCACCTTCGAAACCCTGGTTCAACAATAACTGTTCTAGAGCTGTTGCCTTGGTACAAACAGCCTACCATCGTTGACTCAAAGACCTTAACCTTGCGACTAGAACAAAATACGTTAAAGCCAGGAATAACTGCAGCCAAACAATAGAAGCATCAAAAGAAACATCTTGTTCAAAGTGGGTATTTTGCCATCACCCTGAAAGATAGCTGGAGTCCAACCAATCCCCAAAAAAGAGAACAAAAATCTGTCCAACAGCTGCAGGCCTATTTCCCTGTTATCAGTTATCTCCAAAGTGATGGAGAAAGTCATCAACATTGAGCTAATCAAATATCTGGAAAGCTCAGGAATCATCAATGATAGACACATCGCCACCCAAGATCAACTGGAGATCCACTTGCCTACGTTACCCATATATGGCAAGCTTCCTCAGAAAAATATGGGGAATCTCTAGTAGAGCATATATAACTAAATCTATAACGAACGCAAATCTGAGAATTATTTTTTGACATTCACTTTTGTCAACAAAAGAAATGGCAACTTAGTAACTCAACACATATTTTGATTACAACAATTCATGAAAATGTAGAAATTTCACAAACGATGAGATTTTCACAAAATTCTTAATCACACGGCATATGTTTCTCTAATACAGTAGCTTCATCGGGTGAAATACTGGTAGAATGAAATAAACTAACCTTGGCTTGCCTAAATTATATATCCTACTTTCCCGACCTGAAGGATTAGATTAGAATTATCTGTGGAAAGGTTCGATAAACCTTCATTTTCGAAAAATAGGAACAATATCTACATTGAAATACGGTGTAACGGATTAACTTCAAAGATCTGATAGCAAATACATATTATTACCTACTAAGAAAACGAATTCATTAGTGGCGAACTATTCACCTGATGAAGCTACTGTGTTAGCGAAACATGATGTCTTATGATTAAAAATTTTGTGAAAATCTCATCGGTTGTGAAGTTTTTATATTTGCTATGGATTTCCATCAAGTAATGGCAGAGTCAATCCAAAAAAAGAAAAATAGGTTCATCAACTTCAATCACAAATTTCATTCCGGAAATTTCAGAAACATAATTGAAAAATATACAGTGTGTCCCTAGACCAGTGGGACAGTTGAATGTCTCCTGAACCGATAGGATATTTCAAAATATTATAATTCCACATCATATCGCATCATGAGTGCTAACTTCAGGAATGACTAAATTTTATACGAGGGGCGCAAGAAAGGCTCACAAAATCGAACATCAATTTTTTCAAATGGAACACCCCATATATTTCAACATATCTGAATTCTCATCCCTCTAGCCTAATTATCAGTTCTTCATTTTTGAAAATCCGACAAGGCGTTGCCAAGTTATACTAGTGTTTCATGAAATGCAGCATTTTTTTAGACAAACCCATCATTCATACTACTAAGAATTTATGGAATCATTCAAGACTGTTGGTAGTCGGTAGCATATTCTATCATATGAAATACTCATCTTCCTCGAAAGTTATACAGGGTGGTCAGAAATATTATATAATTTTCACGAAATTCAAACTTTCTTCACATAAATTTTTCAAATAGTGCACCCTACAATTTGTATAATTTTATATCATGTAATGAAAAATTTTGAAATGTGTCTTGCAGCAAACGGAAGGCAATTTGAAAATTTATATAAACATTATTGTGCCTAATTATTCGCCAAGTCAGTTCTTTCTTTTTGAGACTGTTTTTTTAGTAGTTAAGTACAGTTGAATAAATAGTTCACTGCATTTTTTTTATTTGCATTTGCTGATGATGAAATTTACATCTCTCTTTCACATCTATTGACCATGAGCAATCAAACCACCAATGGGATATAAAATCATACATATTGTAGGGTGCACTATTTGAAAAATTGATGTGAAGAAAGTTTGAATTTCGTGAAAATCATATGATATTTCTGACCACCCTGTATAACTTTCGAAGAAGATGAGTATTTCATATGATAGAATATGCCCCCGACTACCAACAGTCTTGAATGCTTCCATAAATTCTTAGTAGTATGAATAATGGGTTTGTCTAGGTATAAAAAAAATTTCTGCATTTCATGAAATACTGGTATTACTTGGCAACGCCTTGTCGGATTTTCAAAAATAAAAAACTGATAATTAGCCTAAAGCAATGAAAATTCAGATATGTTGAAATATATGGGGTGTTCCATTTGAAAAAATTGTTGTTCGATTTTGTGAGCCTTTCTTGCACCCCTCGTATAAAATTTAGTCATTCCTGAAGTTAGCATTCATGATGCGATATGATGTGGAGTTATAATATTTCGAAAATTCCTATTGGTTCACGAGATATTCAACTGTCCCACTGGTCTAGGGACACACATATATTGCAATGAATGGACCAACAAACTTTTTTTTTCGCTGTTTCTTTATTTTATTGGGGTAGGCGGCGCCTATATTTTTCTCACCCTGACGAGCCGCCACTGCTTTGGTTATTTGAATTATCTACATGAACTAATAGAGGTTCTACTTAGTTCCTGGAATATTAGGTTAGGTTAGGTTTATTGTAGTTATTCATTATCTCGCATTATATTATCTATGCTACTTATGCTATTTTTTTCATGCTCTCTTTTCGGATATTCAACAGATATAATTCAATTTTCGGCGTGGCAAATAGCCAGGAAAGTAATTGTTTTCTGTTGAATATTCAGAATGATATGATACACATATTTTTATATGAAGGACAATGCAAATTCTCTATTTCAGAAGATTTTGTTGTCAAATCCTCATCGTGTTTGTTCAATAGATGTAATTCAATATTCGTCGTGAGATATAGCCAGGAAAGTAGTTGTTTTCTGTTGAATAAACCGAGAAAGAATTAATATTTTCATCACATGGAGAATGCGAATTCTCATTGTATTTCTTTATATATATATATCCATTTTTTGTGTTCATAAATATATCTGAGAATATTCCTTTTCAAAATTAAATTACTAAATCCAGGCCTAAAATAAAATAATATGTTGATTTCCATTGAGTTGAAGCATTGAAAATGTGAGTCCTGCTTTTATTGGTGAAATTTATGGGTTGTGAAGTAAAACTTTCCGAATAAATACATTTTTTGCTAAACTTTCGTTTTTTCATAAATTTTTATTTCCAAATGCAGTGAAAGTGTAAGGAAAATTTTGCATATTTTATTTTCGATATTTTTTGTTTGTGATATTCGAAAATTTCCTGTCACAGTTTACAAAAACGATATACACGATGACCTTTTTTCTATATAGTAGACTATCAAAATTCTGAATAAGTCAGTCAATTAGAAAATAGTTGCGGAATATTTCATGAAATAATCAGACGAATCTGAGGAGCTGTTGGAGAGTTATGACCAAAAGATGTTTTTGCCAAATCTCATAATTCACACTATATATTGGTGAAGAAGAGAGAAAGACACTTTCTGATGGACATTAGGTATTATCCTCAGGGGCCTCTATTCGTAGTTGAAGTATGTACAGTTCCTCATGAGTCATTAATCACCCTGTATATTATCGATATCTTGTTGAGAGCAAATTCCTGCTAATAAAAATCAGCGGAGGCGAAATCGACACGCATGATAATTAAAAGATGCGTTAATACGATCAAAATATCCCTCTTTCCCCGCAGCATTGCATAAATACTAGTACGGAGCGTTTTCATTCGATTAGTCCCGGCCCTGAAACGGGCGCACGATTTTTAGGGCTATTGAGCCCTCTTGGTTTCGTGATACAGGTTCGTCTTTTGTTAGTTTTACGTGTTTTAGTGTGTGTGGAAGGCCATCTTAAACTACGCCGGTGCCCTTAGGCACACAACAGTTTAGGGCCCTTTTGGAAAGTAAAGATAGCGAATTATACTAACATTTGTCCATTATAATCTTCTAGGGTGAATGCACTGGTTCTCGACCAGTTAACCGAAATGTCAATTTTGAGAGTGGTGAATTCGTGTAAAAGCTTATAATATTGTATTGGAGTTAGTGTATACCGATTCCTTGATGACTTGAAAGTAATTTGTGAATATTTTCAAACTTTTTTTTGCATTCAACTTTTGAAATCTTGATAAAAGCAAAGAATCTACAATTTTACTGGTTCTTGACCACCCCGATCAGTTTGATTCACAATGATTGAAAAACACTTGACATGTAGAGATTCGAATGCAAAAATCATTTTATTCTCAAGCAGACTCCTGAAAAATAAACTAAACTAAAAAATAGTTATTTTCAAACATAGGAACCTAATGGTCACTACCCCGTCATTGTTTTAGATTCCTCAAAGAGCTATGAACAATAAAAATAAACATTAATTAAATATGTGAATTTTTGCAGCTGCAATAGGTAAAATTATGGTAAATATTTCAATGAGAAAATCATTTTATATTTTGACATAAGAGATATGGTCGAGAACCAAAATTTAGTTCAAACTGGTTCTCGACCACAGTGGTCGAGAACTGAATATGGTCAAATTGGTTCTCGACCATCAATAAATGTATTGCAGAAGAAATATTATTTAGGCCTTATTTGATGGTCGCCAACTTATATTTAATAAGTAGATATGTAATTGAATCAGTATTTTAAAAAAATTCCAAACATTTTCCAAAGTAATCATATAACTAGACAAACAAATTTTGTAAGATATGTTCTGGTTCTAGAAATAAAACAGACAATTTTTGTGAAACATCGAATATTTAAGAAAAAAAATATTTGTGTATGTTTTTTCTTGAAATACTGGAAAAACTATGTCTACTAATCCATATAAAAAAAAAACTCCTATGCCTAATGCATTCAGAATGGAAGTTATTCACTATTTTCAGGCCTGGTATACCTATCAACTAGCACTTTTCAAACATGGACGATAAAACAGCATCTATCAATGACAGACGATTATCAAATAATTTTTTGTGCGAAAAGCTCTAGTTTTTTCCCAATCTGCCAGCTATCTTGAATTGAGTGAAGTGGCCGAAAACACATTTTCTAGTAATTTTAATGGTATAAGGAATATTTCTCTGAATATTTGGTCTCAAATACCAGAACGGTCGAGAACCAGTGCCGGTCGGTTTAATTGAAACAAATACAGGGTGGTGCAGAATTCAGAATCTTGATCACCCGGTATATGTCCCAATTAAATATCAGTAGATAGTTAATCAAAAGTTGAGATAGGGACATGTAAGTCGTTTTGACCAATAATGAATAGTTTCGACAAAAAAAATTCCTAAAGTTGAAAAATGTCGATTTTTCACACCCTATATCTCTGTTATCATCTCCGCTAGACCCCAAGTGTGATACATCGATGAAATCAGCTCTTCAGAGAAAATCTGAAAATGCAATAAAATACAGGGTGTTCTATTTGAAATAACAAAGTTGTTGCTACTTTTCGATAGAAGCGGAATCGCCGCAGAGATGAAAATATTTTAGATCGATAGACCAAGAGCAACTACGTGAGTTACAAAAATTTCAGAATGATCCTATGTCCCGTTCTCCGTAAACGTCTAACGTACCATGGACCGTGAGTTACCCTGTATATAATATCTTGGGAATACTTCCATTGGCATGCAAATAATTCCAACGCTTTTCTGTTCTATAGACAAACGAGTTTTGGTAAAGAGTTGTTCGACATTTCTCAAGATTGACAACGAAAGAAAGTGCTGATTTGGCTTGTCAAGTACAGGGTATTCCACATAACTTAGCCACTTCTTTATCTGGTAAACTAGAAAAGAGAATAGATACAAAAATATGGGGATCAAAGTTGTTCATAGTCATATAAATTTTCTTTTTCACATAATGTCAACTATACTGGATGATCCATATGCCTGTAACATACCAAACATGTTTTTTTTTTCTAATAGAAAACCCTAACTTTCATTTTGTCTCTGAATAGCTCAGAAAGACGAGTCAGTTTTGGAAATATACTTTTGGCAAATTCAAGAGATCTAAATTTTGATCTACGATGGAAAGAACATTCAGAATTTGTTGATTCATAACGAAAAATACGCATGGAAAACCTAATCCACAAGGGTTTTAGAGGGTTTTGGAATTCGACTTCTTATTGAAGAAGATCATGGAAAGTCCGAAACGGGTTTTCTGAGCTCTATCCAAGGATGGAATGAAATACAAGGTGTTCCATTTGAAAATTTCGAGATAATGATAGGTTCGCAAAATACGTTATCGCTTTGGGTCAATCCAAAATTTCTGAATAATGACAAAATAGCAAGAAAGCAATGATAGCATATCGAATTTGTTAATTTATGACGGAATCTGCGCATCGAAAATTGGATTCTCAAAGTTTCTAAAGGACTTTAAAATTGGGCTATTTATCGAAGACCATGACAAATGTGAAGAAATTAATATTTAGTATTTGCCTTAGTGATATATATTACATTTATGTTCTCATTTTCAACCCAAGCGCAAATGAGTTAGTATCGTTAGATTCGTCAAAAAATCTTTGTTTGGGAAGTGCTTGTCAAAAAATGGTAGTCATTTGAAAAATGATAGTTAGACACGGAAATGTAATTTTTTCTACAAACGTCAAAAAATGACAAGGTTCGCGCATTGATAACAAATTGCGAAGTGTCACTTTTTTTCAGTTTCCTACGTTACCATTATTTCTTGCACAAAACAATGCGCGAAGTAAAACAGTGCGCGAAGTGCATACTTCGCGCATTGTTATGTAAAATGAATGAGATATTTATATTTCAACTTTATGGTCCTCAATCGAGCAGACATCCACAAAATCATTTATTTCTGAATGTTCAACAATAACTTTGTTTTTTCTCTTGGAGCGCATGAAAGGAAATTCCTATTATGTTCGTGGAACATCGTGCGTACCTAGGGAGGATAGGGGGAGACCTTTCAAGCCAGTTCAACACTATTTTTTATATCAAGTTGAGCATATTTTTCCTTTAGAACTATATTTTTTGACGTTTGTAGAAAAAAAATTTGTTTGCAACTCGAGCGCGAAATACTTTGGTCATCTCGACTATTTTTTCAACTCGGCTACGCCTCGTTAAGAAAATCAGATCTCGATCACCAAAGTAGCATTTCGCGCTCTAGATACAAAAATAACTATTGTCAACTTGTATTCTTCCTATCTACCATTGGAGTCACTGAAACTCTGTGATCAAAATTGTCTGATACCATACATAAGTTTACGTCCGATCATGCCCACCTAGATACAATATATATTGAAAGTGACCCTAAAAAAATGAAGTAGTAAAAACTACTGAAAATATCATATGCTGATCCAGAATTGTCTCAGGAATTCAAAAATTTTACAATGTACAGAGTGTTTCATTCAAAAATTCAATTTCGGTGAAACTGAAAATGACCGGGATTTGAGAAATATGACCATATTGAATATAATTATGATATACCCAATATTCTAGAAGACATAAGACATAGCTGTCTAATACATTCGTGGACACCCGGTATATGGATCATTCCATTAATTAGGCCACTGATATAGCATTTGTAAACTAGGGCACATCATAGAAATATGAAGTGGTTGGATATGTTATAGGCAAGTTTAATGAAAGATTGTTTCATATAAGAAGTATTCTCTAATAAAAAAGGGAATACGTGATTATTATACCGATATACGACGATGAGTAAACGCAAAAATACTCTTATGATGAGTGCAGAATTACTCTTTACTCTGTTAGGCGAGTACTCTTGGTTTTTTGAACTAAGTTCCCACTTCGCTCAGCTCATCATGTTATGAAACGACATAAGGCGTTTTCGGAAACCTACTCGGGTTGACTCGATCCCTAACCTACACGTTCGTTTACCTAACCCGAGTAACATACCCATGTTCGGAAACTTCGGTGTTACTTACTCGATCACTAACTCGGGTTCATGTTTCGCAACCCTGCTCCAAAGCAGGGTCAGCCAGAGTTACTACCTTAGATCATACACTTACTACCACAGAACTACTCACGATTCATGTATTTCTAAGGTCACTTCAGATATTATTTGATTTCATCAATTGATCAAGAAGTGAATTATATTGAATAGCATTAGTTTGATGATGAAAATACACCAACATCATGAGCAGAAGCAATATTCATCATTTCTAGAACAATAACAACGTGTATCTTTCAAGAGTTTAGTGGTATGTTTTTAAAGACATGGAGAAATTGATCCAAAAATATTGATATCGTATAGCAAACTGAAAAAATTGCATACAGCTGTAAGAAATCAAGAAGTTCTATTCGAAGAGGTATAAAGCTAAGTCAATAAAATAGTAACCTGATAAGTTCGTAAACTATAGTATCAGGATAAGTGATCCGACTGATCCATCACGTGACCCGTTCAGATCGAGTCAACAACCCAGAGTAAGTTTCCGAAAACGCCTATATAATACAATGTCCGATATATATCTAGGCATATACAGGCTGATTCACGGTGGATGGCACATTAGACGTTTCTAGTGAACCAGACAACGGATCATTTTGAAAATTCAATGGAGGGCATATACGGACATTCTCTAGCCAACTAAAATATTTTCGACAATGCGGTGTTGCCGCTTCTATTAGAAAGCAGTAGCAACTTTGATTTTTCAAATGGAACACTTTGTATTTTATTGCATTTTTAGATTTTCCCTGAAGAGCAGATTTCATCGATGTATCATACTTGGGGTCTAGCGGAAATGATTACAGAGTTATAGGGTGTGAAAAATCGACATTTTTCAACTTTAGGAATTTTTTTTGTCGAAACTATTCATTATTGGTCAAAACGGCTCACA